ATGAAGAAGCGGGTACCGTGAACTATTTTCAAGATGTATTTCTTTATCCGTGCAAATTTTACAATCGCCAAGTTTGGAAAATAAATGTAAGAAAATCCTATTTTCCGGGGGGGGGGGGGTTTGTTTGACTTTTCTGCACTGCACAGAAGACTGATGCACATACAAAGACAATACAGAAGGAAGTGGTTCAATGAACTTTACAAACCTCATCGTCTGGGTCTGGATAAGGACGGCTGCAGGTGCAGTACACACCACGGAAATTCTGGTTGTACTTGTTGTCTGGGTTGGTAGCGTCTTTTTTCTGATGAGGCCCAAAAAATGGTACAATTATGATGGTTTTTACTTCCCGAAATATTCCCAACTTGCTTGATACTGAGAGAGTTTTGGCATTATCCGGAGAATAAATCTGACCTGCTAATATACCAAAGACTAGAACATGTCAGGATATGTAAACAACAAATTTATTGTGAGAGTAAATCTCCAGATAACCAATGGTAACAAACTGCATCAATGTTTAATTCAAGTGCCCAAGCACTACTCACTGTCAAAAGGAACAATTTAAAATGGTTAGATCTTGATGCATCTGAATTGTAAAGGCGGTTTCCTCTGAGCAATGGACAATTTCCTTGTTTCATGGTCTTGTAAAAATGGATTAATTTGAGCACAATGAAACTGTGAGTAAACACTGCCAACACATATCCACCAAGCAGAGTTAGACATCAAAATTTATTCTCTCTTTATGTGTTTAACCTGTTTATCATTCCACACTTTCTGGAGGGTTGATGACAACTTTCTTCTCTCTTAATCAGGCTGACTAAATCATAAGAAGTTCATTTTTCAAAGAGATCTACCTCAATCAGTTTGCACTTCACTGACCCAAACATGCTGTTTCCACAGTCACATCTAAAGTTTCTGTTTCAAAAACAAAAAAACATATGAGTAGTGACCCTGAAATTCTGTAATTGATGTTCACCTTTTAGTTTCTGTGAATAACAATATTTTTCTATTATAAAGCAAACTAACACATTATAATCATTACAATCAATTAGGTTTAGTTGGTACAAAAAGGACAACCATTTTTTTAAATTAAGCTTTAAGAAGGCAATTTGGTTACAGAGAAACAGAATTTCCCTTTTGATTTCATCATACTAAAATAACAAATATTTGAATCAAAATACAAATATTTGAATATTTGGTAATTGAATATTCAAATATTTTTATATTTGGCGCAGGCTTGCAAAGAATATGCCCAGTCACTTTGACTTAGGACTGCCAAAAACAGACTAGAATACCAATTTTAATAAATGCACCCATAAATGACACATGCATTTGTTTACGGTTACGGATACTTTCCTTGGAGCTTAATTAATGGTAAGTAACACAATCACAGCCACACTTTTCCTGATCTGGACAGACTGTCACTGCCATCTCCCTCACTGAAAAGACTGGTGACGACTAAAAACATGTTTGAATATGTGATTAGAGGCTTTCTCCCCCCCCCCCATCTGGGAAGGATACACCCCAGACACTGTGGTACCTTTTGGTGTAGAGTTCGTAGAGCTGATGTCCCTCGTGACATTCATAGCTGCAGGCTAAGCAGACCCCTGCAGACTCATTGGATGCTGAGGTGCATGTTGCGCAAGCGTACAAAGCCTGTCTGCCTCGATAACCCTGCCAACAGAATGGTGAAAAATAAAATTGGTGAATCAAATGCCAACTGTGTCATTCTCTACCAATTCAAACACCCTCCCTGGCCTCTCAAGTCACTCAACTTAGATTTGCCTTAACCACTTCGTGCCGGGGCATTTTTCAACGTTGATGATGCTGGGCCGGCATGACTATCATTTTTTCCGTGTTCAAAATCCTTCAACAATTCATCATTCCATTTAACAGTCGTTTA